CTACCAGCAATGAATGAGGGTTCCTTTTGTTGTACATCCTTATAGCATTTAGTGTTGTCAGTGTTCTGGATTTTGGTCATCCTAATAGGTGTGTATTGGTATCTCATTGTTGTTTTAGCTTGGATTTCCCTAATGACATATGATGTGGAGCATCTTTTCATGTGCTTATTTGCCATCTGTATGTCTTCTCTGATGAGGTGCCTATTTAGACCTCTTGCCCATTTTTTAACTGGGTTTTCTTACTATTGAGGTTTAAAAATTCTATACATTTGGATAACAGTCCTTCCTTTGTCAGATGTGTCTTTGGCAGATATTTTCTCCTACTTTGTGGCTTGTCTTCTCATTCTCTTAACATTGCCTTTCACAGAGATTTTTTTTTTTCATTTTAATGAAGTCCAGCTTATTAATTCTTTCTTTCATGGATCTTGCCTTTGATGCTATATCTAAAAAGTCATAGCCACACCCCAAGCTTATCTAGGTCTTCTCCTGTTATCTTCTAGGAGTTTTAGAGTTTTGCATTTAGGTCTATGATTGACTTTGAGTTAGTGTTTGCTAAACGTATAAAGTCTGTGTCTAGATTCATTCTTTTGCATGTGGATATTCACTTGTTCCAGGACCATTTGTTAAAAGACTTTGTTCCCTTTTATTACCCTTGCTGCTTTGTCAGAGATCAACTGATATTTTATGTGGGTCTATAGCTGGGGTCTCTATTCTGTTACATTGTCCTATTTGTCTATTCTTTCACTAATACCCCACTGTCTTGATTTTCATAGCTTTATCTATCTATCTATCTATCTATCTATCTATCTATCTATCTATCTATTTATTTATTTATTTATTCTTATGTTAATCCCCATACCTTACATCATTAGTTTTAGATGTAGTGTTCCATGATTCATTGTTTGTGCATAACACCCAGTGCTCCATGCAGAATGTGCCCTCCTCAATACCCACCACCAGGCTAACCCATCCTCCCACCCCCCTCCCCTCTAGAACCCTCAGTTTGTTTTTCAGAGTCCATCGTCTCTCATGGTTCGTCTACCCCTCCAATTTCCCCCGCTTCATTCTTCCCCTCCTGCTACCTTCTTCTTCTTCTTTTTTTTTTCTTAACATATATTGCATTATTTGTTTCAAAGGTACAGATCTGAGATTCAACAGTCTTGCACAATTCACAGCCATAGCTTTATTTTAAGTCCTGAATTTAGATAGTCGTCCTCTGATTGTGTTCTTCTACAATTGTGTTAGCTAGTCTAGATCTTTTTCTCTCATATAAACTTTATAATCATTTAGTCAATATCCACCAAAAACTTGCTAGGATTTTGACTGGGATTGCATTGAATCTATAAATCAATTTGGGAAGAGCTGGCATCTTGGCAATATTGAGTCTTTCTATCTATGAATATGGAATATCTTTACATCTATTTAGTTCTTTGATTTTGTTCATTAGAGTATGATCGTTTTCCTCATATAGATCATGTATGTGTTTTATTGGACTTATACCTAAGTATTTCAATGTTTTGGGTTGCTAATATAAATAGTATTGTATTTTTTATTTCAAATTCCATTTGTTCATTCCTGGTATATAAGAAAGTGATTGACTTTTGCATATTAACCTTGTGTTTTGCAACCTTATTATAATCACTTATTAATTCCAGAATTTCTTTTGTCAATTCTTTCAGCTCTACATAGATGATCATGTCATCTGCAAACAAAGGGAGTTTTGTTTCAGCTTTCCCAATCTGTGTCTTTTTCCTTTATCATCTTATTGCTTTAGCTAGAACTTCCAGGATAATATTGAAAAGTAGTGGTGAGAGGGGACATCCTTGTCTTGTACCTGATCTGAGCAGGAAAGCTTTGAGTTTGTCACCATTAAGTATGATGTTAGCTGTAGACTTTTTTGTAGATATTCTCTATCTTTCCCTCTTTGTAGATACTTTCTATCTTTTCCTTATTTTAACCAGTAGAATATGATAGAAAGTAAAGACATTTTTAGAGATATAATTAAAGTCTCTAATCAAAAGAAGATTACCCTGGGTGCATATGACCTAACCACGTGAGCTCTTTAAAAGAGAATCCAGGCATTTTATGAGAGACTTAAAGTAGCAGAGATGCTTGTCACTGGCCTTAAAGAAACAAAAGCCACTTTTTAAACCACCTATGTAGAAGACAGCTTCTAGAAGCTGAGGGCCTCAGTCCTACAAATACAAGGAATTGAATTGTGCCAGGAACTTGAATAAGCTTAGAAGAGGACCCCAAGTTTCAAATGAGGATGTAACCACTGGCCAACACCTTCATTCATCCTTGCAACATCTGAGAAGAGGACACAACTAAGATGCCTAGACTCCTGACTCATGCAAACAGCAAGATAATAAATTTATGTCTTAAGCATTATTTGAAGTAATTTGTTATGCAGCAATAGAAAACTAATACAATGGTCATTAAAACATAATTGCAATGAGGTCATTATAAAAAATATTATTGCCCACAGCTTTTATATAGAACTTATAATTTAAAAGGTTAAATATTTATTTTCAGTTGCTTCTGATGTTTACATGAATATAAACACACACATTATACATATATCTGTATACTTGAGGAACCCTAAAATGAAAAATTCACTGCATTCAAGTAACAGTTGTTAAATTACAGAACCCAACATAGCTTTGCTCTATGTCAGGTTTATCCTGGAATTTGGAAGTATCACAACTTGTAGGCACTTGCCCATTTTAAAAACATGACTGAATCAGCATGCTGCCCATTCTATCATAGACCACATGGCATGAATTCAAGATGAGATGTAACACTACAATTTTGTGTGAATAGCAGGGGATATGTTGATAGAAAATTTCTGAAGTAAATGAATTAAATCTATAAAAAAAAAAAAACAATAACGGGGTGCCTGGATGGCTCAGTCATTAAGTGTCTGCCTTCGGCTCACGTCATGATCCCAGAGTCCTGGGATCGAGGCCCCACATCAGGCTCCCTGCTCCGTGGGAAGCCTGCTTCTCTCTCCCCCATGCCTCATGCTTGTGTTCCTGCTCTCGCTCTCTCTATCAAATAAATAAAATATTTTAAAAAAACAAGAATTTCTTATAATCTGTATCAATAGAGAATAAATTATCAGGGGAAAATGCCATAATTACAGAAATTTAAAAAAAATCATCAAATACAAGGGATCAGAGTGCTGAATCTGCCATTTAGGGCCCCTTGTCTGCTCTGAGCTGAGACCGAAGGCTCTGGTAGTCAGCTGACTCAACAAAGAGAATCCAAGGCATTGGGAGAGCCGCAATTCCCTCCAAGGAAAGTAAGCCTAATCAGGAGCCCTGTGAAAATAAGACACCCCTAATTTTATTACTCTGAAGGAAACTCATGGTGCTGCTTGCTGAATGGGAACTCATTTCAAGCATAAACACTATACAAAAACCTAAATACAAGCACAAGATATAACTGGAGAAAGTATTAGGTTTGAAAAGTATTGTTCCTTTCACAAATAATTAAAAAAATATAATGGGTGTCAGGCACAGAAGAAATAACACTTATTTGTAAAGATTCAATAACAACAATGATGACATTTATTAGACATTTACTCTGTACTAAGCACTGTTCTTGGTCTGTCTCAATTGATTCTCACAGTAGCCCTCTAATAGACACATTTTGCAGATGAGGAAGAGAGGAAAAGAGAAATTTGCCAAAATAAGTCACAGAGCTAAGATTTGGCCCCCAAAAGACAATCTCTAGTCTCTGAGTGCTTACTCACTTCTTAAGAATATATCTGAATATAATCAGTGATGTCTAGGACTAGTAGAACAGCACCTAGCTGTTCTACTAATCTCATTTGTCTAGCTTCCAAACACAGGTAGCCAGCTGATTTAAAATAAAAAATTCTGTAATAATTTTAGGTTTGTTCTAGAATAACGGAATTCTGAAATAATTTTAATTTTGTAATAATTTAATAATTTTTATCAGTGTTCAGGGACACCTGGCTGGCTCAGTTGGTAAAGCATGCAACTCTTGCTCTTGGGGTTGTGAGTTCAAGCCACACATTGGGTATAGAGATTACTTAAGTATAAAATCTTAAAAAGCAAAAATAATTTTTACCAATATTCAAAGGCAATAGGTACCGTTTTCCAATGAAAGAAATTGGGTCTGCTTGAAGAAATGGCTGGTTCTAGCACTAAGGCACATCATGCTGGTAGTGCCAGAAAGTAAACAACAACAACAACAACAGCAACAACAAAAGCCAAACAGCTAAAAAAAAAAATGTATGGGGGTATGTTGAAGCAGCATAGGAGTCAATTTGTAAAAGCTCTCAACAACCAAAACTGGGATAATTTTAACAATACAATAAGCAACGTAGTATTGGTTTGGAACTCCAAGTATGAGATTATTATTTTTTTGCATGTGGATGTATCTATATCTGGGTCCTATTATAGATGTGTATATATACATATGCACATATATGAGTATATGAGTATATATATAAAATTTGAGACTATTCTTTAAGGAAAATTTGTTCCTTATCCCCATTTATTCATCTAAACAGTAGTTTATTTATATGAATATGTATTCACTTCTAGTTACTTTATGAATATATGTTACTGTAACAATCCAAAAAGAAAAGTAATCATTCATATAAAATTTAAAACATGTTTTTTCATTTCCATTAATAGAACGACTTATGGTTAAAAGGCTATGTATAAGTTAGAGACCAAAGTCAGAGTCAATTTATTTATTTATTTCTATAAATGCAACATACAAACTTTATGTATAAGTCAAACAGACAATTATATTAAGAGAAAAACCAAGTAGAAGAAATTTTATCTTAAACACCTTATAGTAAACTATTTGCAGTTGCATTTAACTGAGCTCTGTTGCTGTGAAGAATACAGCTCATGCACAGGTATGGATCAACAATTTGTACATTTTTCAAGTATTCACTGAATACTAACTTATATACACATATACATTAAATTTGAAAAAGATTTAATTGACGACCCCAGATAGACTTCATTTTTGTTGCTCTTTTGGAAGAGGTCATCTAAAGAGAAGAATATGTGGTTTTGGCTCATGAATCATGTAATGAACCCAGCCTAGACTCTGTTGGACACCAAGTCTCCTCCACTCCTCTTCAGACGTCAGATAGGTTTTCAGGACTTGTTTGGAAAGTTCTCTGGGTAACATGACATGCCAGTACTCATAGTGCTCGTCGAAGTACTTGTCCAAGTAGTAGATCTGCTTGTGGGCCATCCTGCGGGCGGGCGGGAGTGACAGGTACAAAGACAGGGCGCAGCGGGCCACACATCCTGGTCTGGCCAAAGCAACGACTCGACTGCCAAGTCAATAATTTTTTTTTAAAAGGAATCCTTCATTTATGGTCCTTTAAATATTATGTGTATATTATTTATTAGGAAAGCTATTTATAATATAAAGTAGAACAAGATTGTTTTTAATTTGCTTCTTTCTACAAATAGTATTATATTCCCTGAAAGGACTCAATAAATGAGAATGTATTTTGTATTAGTAAAATAGTAATTATCATTTCTGGAGAATGACAGGCAATCTTCTGAATAAAACCCCAAGTGTCATATATATCATTATCTAGGTAGTTAGAAATTAGCTTGGGCATTCTTTATGAGCATATATAATCTTGTGCTTTGAAAATTAGAAAAAAATTCCTATATTTTCTTCAGAAGTTTGTTGGAGTATATAGACACACACACACACACACACACACATATATATATATATATTCCAACTTTAACCTAGAAAGTGTGTTCTAGACATTGAAGTTGAAACAATAATGTAGTATAATTTGGTAGTAAGCAAAGACTTGCCTGACAAAAATAGTTTCTGCATCTTACCAAGATCATTTTCATTATCATAATTTTTAAATCCTCATAAGACACACATTTTATAAATATGCTCAAGGCATAATTTCCATTGAAAGGTAACATTAATTAAGAGGAAAGAAGAGTGATCCTATGCCAATGACAAGAAAACAAGTTCCTGAGGACATGGGCTTGAGCATGATATTTCTGTGTGTGTGTGTGTGTGTGTTTGTGAGAGAGAGGGAAAGAGAGAGACAGAGAGAGAAGGAGAATGAGTGTGTGTATATATATAACCTATCACCAAGATGAGGTTAATAAGAGTAACAAAGGTAGCCAGCCCACAAGGCTTAAAATAATTTATGTCAATAAATAATTGATGAACATAGAATTTTATCATCAAAATATTAATATAGAACTAAAGACCAGTATAAAATTAATCATTATATATATACATATACAGATATGATTCAATTCACTCTTTGAGATATAGAATAATGATGAACATATATATCCCTTTTTCAAACAAATTACAATACAGTTAGTTAAAAATAAATAAATAAATTACAATACAGTTGAGGAGATAAGAAAAACAGACTTAAACTGACAACAAAGAACACAGTATACAATGTAATTAGGTGCATATCAAATGTGATGACTCTAAAAAGCTCTAGAAAGTGAGTGGACATATTTCTAAACTATTATTCAAAAATGTTTATAGTGATCCTGCAATCTATGTGTGTCTGGAAAGGTGAGTAGACAAATAAGGTCAGAGAGGAAAGGAGATATTTTATATAAAAACAAAAGCATGCTGGAAAGCATAGACAGAAATTTAAATATGACAGGTGTATAATATCATGAAACTTATCTGAAACAGGCTTTGTAAAGCTTGCTAAGGACAAAGCAGAGTTACACTAACATTTGTGTAACTTTATCTGTAAATTTCAACATATTGAGAGGTTGCTTACTTGCTTTGGATTCGAGCCTCAAATTTTTCTTCCTTTTTTTTAAAAAAAAAAAAAGATTTTATTTTATTTATTTGACAGAGAGAGACACAGCAAGAGAGGGAACAGAAGCAAGGGGGAGTGGGAGAGGGAGAAGCAGGCTTCCTGCCAAGCAGGGAGCCCGATGTGGGACTCGATCCCAGGACCCTGGGATCATGACCTGAGCCAAAGGCAAACGCTTAATGACTGAGCCACCCAGGTGCCCCTCGAGCCTCAAATTTTTCTAATTATGAACTCTAAATGATCATTTCATATAGCCAACCCTAACATTTTGCCTCTGCAAAATAGCAATAAATTTTTTCTTGCTAGTTTGGTAAGTTAACTGGTGAGAGTTATAGCAGATGACATATGAAAGTGTTCTTTATGCCATGATTATGAGTATGTAATACTAAAATGGTAGGCTATTATTTATTAACTTTAACTTATCTTTTCATATACATATATTCAATCTTTTAAATAAAATCAAAATAATGTACAAAGATACAATTAAAAAGTAATAGATCTTTTATGAAGGTACAAGTGAAGTAATGAGTGTTTCTGGCTTATTCCTTGCTCACGGGATGTTGTCAATCTCCAATTTTAGAACTGAATTTACTGCAATCTACAAAAGTGTCTTTGTTAGTGGCTTTTAATAATGAAGATTAAATCATGTTCAGGTAAAAATTCTTTTCAGTTGTTCCAAAACCATCATGGAAAACTTTCGGACACAAGTAAAAGCATGTTTGAAATTAATATGCCTTTATTAAATACTGCAACACAATGACATCCTATATCTACTGCATTTTGTTCCTTGAAATGCAGGCATTCATTTGAGAATTTAAAACTGTGATAACAGTTTTATTTCTAGTCTGCTAAAAATTGTGATCATTCCAACTACTCTCTTAAATCACACACACACAGAAAACACAACAATCTATGCAGAATTTGAGGTTGTTTTCATGGTAAATAGTTTTTGCAGAGAGTTTTTTACATTTTGAATTAAAATTGTCTCACATGTTAGGCAATTTTTCTTATTTTAGTAAAGTTTTACTGCTTTACTCAGAGTGTTCTAATTATTCAACAAGATTGCAAAATTTTCCTGTCTGATGCAGAATAGAACAATCAATCTGTGCAAAACCTAAACAGTCAGTTCCACCACATGTGACTTAAATTTTCTCTGAAGTGAGCTCAGAGACCACTGTTTCTTGGAAGAAGACCTTTGAGAATTGCATTCTCCAACTTCCAATTATTTTCCTTTTTCTTTTGCATGGTAATTGTTTTAAACTTCTGTTAAATTTCTGTTCCTTTTTTATTTTTATTGTTCCTTCACTTCTCATACATGTATCCTCTAACCTTATCCACTTCAAGGTTAATTTTCCTGCAGAGTGGAAAAATTCTCAAAAGTAATTGTATTAAATCAAATATACCTGTCAAAATTTCATGTGACAGAATTCCCAGTATCTTAATCTAGGCTGATAGAATTGTTATATCTTATATTCACTAATTCCGTCCTATTCACCTACAAAATATGTCCCATAAATATTCTATGTGTTCTTATGAATTGATTAGATAATGTTAATAAATGAGGCAAAAGTATAAATACATTAGGGGCACTCTTATGATTTAGGACATTTTATATCAAGCAGTAGTTCTTAACCAGGAATAATTTTGCCCCATGGGGGATGTTTGGCAATATCTGGAGACATTTTTGATGGTCATGATGGAATAGGCACTACTGGAATCTAGTGAGTGGAATCCAGTGATGCTATTTAATTTTGTTAGGGCCTCCACAACAAAGAATTACTCAGTCCAAAATACTATTAATAATTTCAAAATTGAGAAACCCTGATGTAGAAGGAAGTAATGATTCTCCTCATTTGTTAAATTGCTATTTTTTTTCTTGATGGAGAAGGAATTTCGTATTTGATTTTTAGTTCTGATAGCTCCTTTATGCATTAGTCAAAATTGAGGTGTGCAAGTTCTCCACTTAGTCATATCATTCACTGTGTGAAATATATGTAACAAAAAAAGCTACCTGTTACCTAATGGCACAGATCATTCTAAAGTGTCTACAGAGAGAAGAAGATGGGGAGCTTTTATGGGCATCACATCTTTAAGAAATGATGGCTATTACTGCATTATAAATTATATTAGTGGGCAGAAAGGGGAGAAGAGTGTATTCTGTAAAATTTATACATTAATGTAGTTCCTAGCATCCAACACATTCTGTTTCAATTTTGATGGCAAAGAAAAGAGAGATTGTTATTTGCCTCTTGCTATGTTTAAATACATGCTCTTGTTTCTAAAGGAAAATCTTGGTCTAAGCTGGCCTGCCATACTAACCCAAGAGGACATAATCCTTATACATACTGCATCATCATTATGTCATATACTTGCTACACTTAGTATTAACTACTGGTGTTAAATTAGGTGCCCACAGTGGTCAAAAGAACTATTACCAGTCATGATTTGTGCTGAGAAAGTCTATTAGGTAATACCAGCTAATTTGGGCAAATTCCTGAACAATGTGTAAAAGGACCCACAAGCACATTGAAATTTCATAGGATCTAAACTGATAAAGTTTAGGTAGATTTACAGGAATAACATTTATAGTCAATCATTCTACTATTTGTCACTTACTGGAGATGTTTAAAACACTTGGCAAATGAAATCACTATCATTTTTCTAATTGTCTTTCTGAAATAAGAAGATCTTGCCTGACTTCTCTTCCCTGAATTACTTACTTCAACCTGGAAAGTAACCATTTCTCCTATTACACTTGTTTGAATCAGCAAAGTAATTAAGAGTGTTGCTTCTTGAAACGAACAAATCCGATGCCCAAATCACACCTTTGCCATCTACTTCTAACTCCAAAAATTTTAACAAGTTACATAACCTATAAAACCTTCAGTTTCTCACTAATAATGTAGCAATAATAATAACAGTAATAATAATCGTAAGTCTAGGGCGCCTGGGTGGCTCAGTTGGTTAAGCAACTGCCTTCGGCTCAGGTCATGATCCTGGAGTCCCAGGATTGAGTCGCACATCGGGCTCCCTGCTCGGCAGGGAGTCTGCTTCTCCCTCTGACCCTCCCCCCTCTCATGTGCTCTCTCTCAAATAAATAAATAAAAATCTTTAAAAAAAAATAATAATCGTAAGTCTGTAAGTTTTGTGAAGATTAATGAAAAATGCATGCAAAGATTTCAGCAAAATGCCTGACACATTATACGAGTTTAGAAAATTTAATTATACTGAATTTCCAAAACACTGTGTTATACAGCAAATGCAGTAATCCAGATCTCTTTTCTGAAAGTCTAAAAGCACGCCAGCCTCAATATGTCAAATCCAAACTCTTTTCCCTGCAAAATCTGCTTTCCTTCCTCTTATGTTCCCTATGTAGTGAAGATGGCCATAGAGTTTGTGCCAGTCAGAAACCCAGCAGTCATCCCTGCTTCTAT